CTCCTTGGAAAGCATAAGCACTTTTGTGTCACTCGCAAGCATATGGATTTACCTTGGAGAAGTAATGGTGGGTTTGCTCTCAGAAATCTTTATCACAAAGTACAAATGTCCAAGGCCTCTCATGTTCACTTTCGCCCTTTTTCTGTCCTGCATTGGTTACCTTCTAATTGCCTTCAATGTCCCAAATGGTCTCTATGTAGCTTCAATAATCACAGGGTTTTGCTTTGGTGGGGTATGGCCATTGCTTTTTTCAATAATTTCTGAGATTTTCGGGCTCAAGCATATCTCTACGCTCAACAATGTTGGGGCAATGGCTTGCCCACTTGGGTCATATTTGCTTAATGTGAAGGTCACAGGGTATCTTTATGATAGGGAGGCAGAGAAGCAATTGAGAGCTTTGGGATTGGAAAGGAAGCCTGGGGAGGAGTTGAATTGCAGTGGAGGACAATGCTTCAAATTACCCTTCATTATAATCACTGCAGCGACATTGCTTGGTGTGCTTGTTTCCCTGGTTTTGGTGTTTAGGACTAGGAAATTTTATAACAGTGACATTTATAAAAAGTTCAAAGATGAGAAAAGAGCAGCAGAGTCTGAAACAGTGGTGGCCAAAAACCCCAATGTTGGGCTACCAAAGTTGGAAGCTGAGATTGATTTAAAAAGCTGAGATTGAGATGTATGCATGAAATATACTTGGTGAGTTTGATCTCTGTAATTCTGATATGTATGTATATATTTTCTTCAAATAAATGCAATCTTTGTGACTTTTACAATAACGGATATTTCAGACTGTTGCATGCTCATGAGAGAGAGAGAGAGAGAGAGAGAGAGAGAGAGAGAGAGAAGATGTGGCTACTTTGGCACTAGGGTTGAAAAATTAAGTGGTATAGTGATAACTAGTGGAATCCAGCAGCAAAGTGGGTGACAAGTAACAATGGAAGTGATTGAAATGTATTATTCAGGAGTAAAGTGGTCAATGATTGAAGCTGAGCTTTGTTAATCTCCTAATAAAATCTGATTCTGCAAAGCCTGGTGGCTTCGAATTAATTATGCAGCTAAATTATGTACTAAATACAAAACCAAATCAGCATGAAAAATAAAGTGATCACAAAAAAGAGGAACTTAATGCACATGAAAGAGATTGCAAAAGCCATCACCCATTTTGAAGCTCCATTAGGAAAAGCAAAAGCAAAAGCAAGAAAATGCAACTACTAATAATGATGTTAAAGGTTTGCTAGCAAAGTATGGTCGTTATCAACATGTAGATTTTCTCTCAATGTTGAACCTGGTGTGGTGGCACAAGCTTTTGCAAATTAAATATGCTATCTGACTGATCTACAGATGAGTATAATGTATTTTGGATGGACGATGCTCTTGAGTGGTGATGATGCTTAATTAATCTTTCCGATTATTTTGCCGCGCCAATCCAATGGGAACGTAACACATCTCTAGCACAAGCGGAAAGTGCGATTAACATCCTTAATCTGCTTTTGCAGTCCCAGATTCAAGAATAAAAGAAAAGGGAAACAAGTTGTGCAGAATAATATCGCTTATATTCTCTCTGATCAATGTTATCTTCAGAAATATAGATATCTATAATTTGTTGTATACCTTCTTTCTTTGTGTCTTGAATGATCCTAGTATATGGTATCTCCATCTGTCTGTCAAGAAATCCCCTAAATATATATTATGAAAGATCCATTTACTCAACATAGTGAACTCTTCCCCTTTTGGTAGTATTGTTTTCTAATTATCCTTTCCTTATGATTGGATGAGTTGAAACAGAACTTTTCCCTTTTTGATATTATTGTTTTCGAATATCAACCACAAATTACACACACACAACCTTTTTAAGCTTTACGTCCATTCATACTTGATATATATCAAGCCATTATTACTATGTGATCACCATAAACAGAAAAAATGAGAGCTCCTGATCATGGCGGTGGCGGCACAGGCATACGCAGTTGGGTGGACATGAAGGGCCTTTTCCTCCAAGTCCTCACAGGAAGATGGCTCATGGTGTTTGCTTCATTTCTAATGATGGTCACTGCAGGCGCAAGCTACATGTTCGGCCTCTACTCCAACGACATAAAATTCGTGCTGGGATACGACCAAACGACACTCAACTTGATCAGTTTCTTCAAGGACTTAGGAGCCAACGTTGGCATCTTGTCCGGCCTGATCAATGAGGTAACACCCCCGTGGGTGGTCCTATCAATCAGTGCGGTCCTAAACTTTTTCGGTCACTTCATGATCTGGCTTGCAATAACACAAAAAATCCCAAAGCCTCAAGTCTGGCACATGTGCTTGTACATGTCCATAGGGGCCAATTCACATACTTTCACCAACACTGGAGCCCTTGTTACATGTGTCAAGAACTTCCCAGAAAGCCGTGGTGTCGTGTTAGGCCTTCTCAAAGGCTATACCGGCATAAGCGCAGCTGTGATCTCACAGCTCTACCATGCTGCCTATGGTGATGACACAAAGTCTTTTACTTTGGTGGTGGCTTGGCTTCCAACTGCTCTCTTTGATTTTCATTGGAACCATTCGGATCATCAAGGCTAGTCGCCGCCCGAACGAGCTCAGAGCTTTCTATAATTTCCTTTATATATCTCTTGGCCTAGCAGCATTTTTGTTGATTATAATTGTTGTTGAGAAAAGGTTCAGGTTTAGCCAGAGCCAGTATGTTGGAAGTGCAGCTGTTGTGCTTTTTCTGCTCTTTTTACCACTTGCTGTGGTTATTATGGAAGAATATAAAGTTTGGCAGAGCAAGAGATCGATATCCCTGAATTTAGATTCTGATCCTTCACCTGTCAAAATTGTAACCGAAGGCCAAAACCCTGATGCCATTTCATCCCCAACATACAAAAAGGTTCCATCTTGGAACAAGGACATACTTAACCCACCAGAGATAGGTGAAGACTTCACAATATTGCAAGCACTTTTCAGCATTGAAATGCTGACTTTGTTGTTGGCAACAGTTTGTGGCCTTGGAGGCACCATGACCATGATGGACAACTTGGGGCAGATTGGAACTTCTTTCGGCTACCCTTTGCGAAGCATAAGAAATTTCGTGTCGCTTACGAGCATTTGGAATTTTCTGGGACAGATTGTTGCTGGCATAGGCTCAGAAATGTTCATTATCAAGTACAAATGGCCTCGCCCTCTCATCTTCACTGCAGTTCTGTTGCTCTCATGTGTTGGCCATCTCATAATTGCATTCAATGTCCCCTATGGCCTCTATGTTTCTTCAGTGGTTACTGGTTTCTGTTTTGGCGCACATTGGCCTTTGATTTTCACTCTAATTTCTGAACTTTTTGGCCTTAAATATTACTCCACTTTGTACAATTTTGGAGGGTTGGCTAGCCCAATTGGGCTGTATTTGCTCAATGTGAGGGTCACAGGGTATTTGTATGACAAGGAGGCTAAGAAGCAAATGGCAGCTTTGGGGCTTCAGAGAAAGGTGGGGGAGGAGTTGAATTGTGTTGGGGGGCAGTGCTTCAAATTGTCTTTCATTATACTTGCTGTGGTGGCATTGTTTGGTGCACTTGTTTCACTGCTTTTGGTGGTTAGGACAAGGAAGTTTTATAAGAGTGATATTTATAAGAAGTTCAGAGATGAAGTGAGAGTGGCTTAGACAGGAATAGTGGTTGCTAAAACTGCTGCAAGTGGAGGTTACTGATCTCAAAACGTACCTCGCACACTTAGGGGTCATTGATAATACCGTAATAGTTGGCGCATGAGCAACTGTGAATCGCTTATAAGCGTAAATCTTGGTTTGTAGAATAATTGTGCTTACCGTACCTTATAATAAAATAAAATTTGTGGGTTCATTAATTACGAAGAATCAACTATGTCTTTGGTTATTTTTATATATTTGTTATCTCTAAGACTCAAATTCTAAATAGTGCATAAAATGCATTTGTGCATCCTAAGGCTTTGACTTGTAGTGTCGTGTTGAGTCGCTAGTGTAGAGAGAGGGAGAGAGTGGTGGAAATGTAATGTGCTTGTCCAAAACCTTAATTTATTTTTATTTAAGGCTCTAACTATATTTTATTTATTTTTAGTTTAAAATATTAGGCTATATATGTTTACTTATTATTTTTTCCCAAAACCTTCCTTGGGCTACAGCCCAGGGCAGCCCTTGCACTAGTTCCGTCGATGGATATAGGGACGACGAAGTTGGTGGTGCTGCATGGTCGTGCACTTCTAGTATGAATAAAGTTGATGTCGTTTAGTCAACGTTGTCTAGTCCAGTGGAAAAGGGCCTTGATTTGCATATCAAAAGTCTCAAGTTTGAATTCCAATGGCATAAGTTGTGTGTGTGAAAAACTTTCTCCCTTGTAGGCTGTAGTTTAGACTATCGCTTATACTAAAAAAACATAAGTTGAGATCGTATCCAAATGGGCCATAAGAAACTCCAAACTGGAAGGCCCCGGTTGATTGTGAGGATGGGAGATCCAGCTGATGTCCAAAGAATTTCTCAAGAGAGACAAAGTTTTGGGGTTCAACATTGATTTGGACCATTTGTTCATTGGATGGGGAACATGCTATAGTCCAAGCGCCTCGTTTATTTCCAAATTCGTAGTGTTTTGGGCTTTTGAAGTTCCAGCCCTTGTTGTAACAAAACGAAACGAAATTTACTATTTCAATTTTGAAAACATTTTTTCTGGAAATTAAATTAACATTTTATTTTCACCAATCTACCCAAAAACATCGTTTTCAGAAAAGGTTTTCTTTTTTAAGTTTAATTTTCATGTTTTTCTATTTTTTAAAAAAAAAGATCCGAATTTGTAACGACAGACAACACTTGTTTTCAACTTTTCACCAAGCATAAAATCGACTTGACATTAATACCCACGGACCGCAATCCAGGAAAAGAGCCATAAATCGAAACCCTGAAGAAGGACAGAGTGGTAAAATCGCATGCAACAACCCATTCCATTTCGGAAGTGCCACCTACGCATAAAAAGGTGTGAGCCCGGGGCCAATTCACCGGTCAGTAGTGATACCAGACTGAAACTTCGAAACCAAAAGGCCTCTCTCTCTCTCGCTACATGCAAGGAAATTGTTGCCCTGAAACCCTCGCATTGTCATGACGTCGAAGGGCAAGGGGATCGCCGGAGGTGGATCCTCCGGCGGCAAGCGTAAGTACGACGATGACAAGACCGGCGGTGGCCGGAAGAGGACCGACCGCGGCGTCCTCAAGTTCTTCGAAGATGTCGCTGCGGAAGCCGACGACGGCGACGACAGTGACTTCGATGACGGTATATACTGTTTCTGACGTCTTTTTTGGTCACGCATTTTCTTCTCGGTTCGGATTTTTAGGGTTTTGAGAATGGATTTTTGTTTTTAGAGTTTGTTTTGTGCATAGACCAGTTTTTAGCTTTCGTGCATTTTTGGGTTTGAAGTGCTGGCTTTTGTAGTTGCTTGTGGAGTTTTTGCATTTTTATTTTCATTTTTCATAAATAGTGCGCCGATATGGATTTTGAGCAATTTACTGGGGATTGTTGAAAATTGTAAGTTTTTTTGTCGTAATCTGGTCAGTTTCAGGCTTTTGTAAGGATTGGTGATGGCTTTAATAGTCGTCTGTTTGCTCTGGTTGTGAATGCCATCGAAACAAGTTGCACTTGTGGTAGAATGGGAATTTTTGGCTTAAGTTTACATGAAGGGTTGAGTGCTGGATTTACCAACCTCATATAAGGTTGTTGCATACAATGCCAAAAAAAAAATTCTTAAACTTTGTTCTGGATGTGTGCAATAGAAGGGATTATTGGTTAGTTGCTTATTTCCATAGTTAACTTGTTTTTTCTTGGTGTACCATATTTTGGGCTTGTCATGTATCCTTGCAAAGAGTCTTAGTTATTTTATTACTCCTTGTTAAGCTCGGTCAGATGTTTTTGCATTTCCTGTTAGAGATTGGGATCCACTTGCACATGCATGGTTTTGTGATGCTAAGGATATGTCATATTAGCACCGTCATTTAATATATCATATGTGTTAGATGTGCAAAAGTATCATAATAATGAGTATGTGAATTTCACCTATGAGATCTGTGTTTACACTAGCAGTTGCTTATGAAATTATTGATAACAGATTTTATGGAAGAAGAATTTGAAACAGAACCTGTAGTCAAGAATGAACCAGGGAAAGCACATAACCTTCCATTCATTCCTAAAGAGGAGGATGTGGATGGTGAAGAATTTGAAAAAATGATGGAAGAACGATACAGGAGTGGTTCTAGCTATATTACCTATGCCGAAGATAATTATGAGAACAAAAGGTCAGTTGACGGAAGTGTTCTTCTGCCTACTGTTAAGGATCCAATCATCTGGAAAGTGAAATGCATGGTATGACATTGAATGTTTTGTTACTTTTTCTTTTGTTGTTGAAAAATTCTGAAATGGCTCCTTAAACAATTTTTCTCTTCTCTCTCTCTCTCTCTCTCTCTCTCTTCCTCTAAAAGGAAACACAATCTTTTCTCACTCAAATTTTTTGGGCTGTAGGTTGGACGCGAGAGGCATTCAGCTTTCTGTATGATGCAGAAGTTTGTTGACTTACGATCGCTAGGTACCAAACTGGAGATAATTTCTGCGTTTGCTGTTGAGCACATCAAGGGTTTTCTTTTCATCGAAGCTGACAAGCAATCTGATATTAATGAGGTCATCTATCTTTTGGATGTAGTAGAAAGCTTATCATTTTATTAGTCAGTATTGGAAAAGTTGCGGGTTTGGTCAATACTATTCTTAATATGCTAATATCTGAACTGTCATTGTTTTTCTTAGGCATGCAAAGGAATTTGTAGCATATATTCGTCCCGAGTAATGCCAGTTCCAAATAATGAAGTTTCTCATTTGCTGTCTCCTCGGACTAGATACAATGGAATTACTGTGGGCATGTGGGCCCGCGTGAAGAGTGGGAACTACAAGGGTGATTTGGCACAGGTATAATTTTTCCCCAGTTGGGTTGGGTTGCTTTAACCCGCTGACACTTATTTCCGATATCTGGATTTTGTTTCTGTAGGTTGTGTTCATGAACGATTTACGAAAACGAGCGACAGTAAAGCTGATCCCAAGAATCAATCTACAAGCAATGGCTGCAAAATTTGTAATGAGAATTGTTTATCCCATGTTGTCCTCTTTCTGTTTGTTGGTGATGGTTATTATTGTTATAAATATTTTTCCAGAACCACCATTTAATTTTCTAATTGATGACTAATAACTGTTATATATATTCCTTAAATTGGGTGGAAGGGTTAGTTGAATTGCCAGATTGAGTATTCTAGAGGAATAATGTTTCAAAGTCCAGGTTTCTATTGCAAAGAAATTCTAGGACCAGTTGTCAATATAGTCGGGTTGAGCTTAGCTTTGATATTGTACCTTAAATGGGCAGTTTCTACCCCGGACACAAATGTGAATATCCTTGTATTAACCTGATGGAGTGGAACCATGACACCTCCTTTACCCTCAAATGCTTCTTTTTACCCCCATGGAGAAATTAGAGTTTTAAATACCAGTGACATAATTACTACCCTTTAAATATCCTTGTTTTAGTCTTTGACTTCTTTCTAAAAGCTGCTTCTAAGAACAATTGCCTCATTGAACTTTGTTGATGCAAATACCTTTGTTTCAGCTTGATGATATGATCTCCCAAAATGTGGGAGCTTTATGAGGCCGTAGATGCTCCTGCATCATTTTTACCTTTCAACCATTCCCATCATAGGAAGGTTGTGATTTTCTTTCTGATGTTATCTTTAGAATGGTGTTTGTGCACTACAAGTAAAGAACATCTTATAGGAAAAATGTGTTGGAACTTTTAATAAGTACGAATTAGACACAAATAGATTGGCTTTGTTCATTGTTCTTTCTTTGATGTGACTGGACACAAATGACAAACAAGCAAAGCAAATTCTAAGGGTCATACATAAAAGGCTATGGCATGTAGGTTTATGGCCATAAAAAGCTGATTTATACATTTAATGTCTGTTAAATTTTATGTCAGGAAGGTGCAGATTCTACCACTTACCAAAACAAGCAGTCTAATTTCCTCTAATGCTTGTTTAAATGGATCTACTGTAATATGTGATGTTTTTGTGTATCTGCAACTTTGCAATCCAAATTTTATTTAGAATCTAAATATGATTTAAGATTCTGGATGTACTGATTCCTTTCACTCTATAGGGTGGGGGAGGTACTAGAAAGAAAGTCCCCGCTCCTGCACCGAGATTGATCAACTCAAGCGAACTCGAGTATGACACAAAATCTTGCCTTGTAGTTCATTATTTCATGCTAGCTTCTGGTCAATGTTTATTTATTTATTTCATGTGTAGGGAGTTCCGCCCTCTCATTCAGTGCAGGAAGGATCGTGAAAGTGGCATGAGGTTTGAATTTCTTGATGGTCTGATGTTCAAGGATGGATATTTATACAAAAAAGTACCAATAGATTCATTAAGCTTCTGGGGTGTTATGCCATCAGAAGAGGAGCTACTGAAATTCAAGTCTTCTGAGAACAATGAAGGTGATAATTTGGAGTGGCTGACAGAGCTTTATGGTAAGGAAAAGAAAAGACGGACCATCAAAATTGAGGAAGGGGGTGGGAAAGGAGAGGGTTCATCTGGGTGTATGGGGAAAGGAGAGGGCTCATCGGGTTCTATGGGGAAAGGAGAGGGCTCATCTGGGTGTATGGGGAAAGGAGAGGGCTCATCGGGTTCTATGGGAAAAGGAGAGAGCGCATCGGGTTCTATGGGTAAAGGAGAGGGCTCATCGGGTTCTATGGGTAAGGGAGAGGGATCATCAGGTTCTATGGGGAAAGGAGAGGGTTCATTAGGGTCTGTGGGGAAAGGAGTGGGTTCATCAGGATCTGGTGGGAATTGCTTTGAACTGTATGATCTTGTTTGTCTTGGGTGAGTCTTGTATGAACTGGTTGTGTGGCCTTAGTGATCCTCCATGAACTGCTTATGTACATTGAAATGATGTTTACTTTTCTTATTTTCTATTGCAGTCGGAAAGATTTTGGTCTTGTAATAGGCATGGAGAAAGATGATAGTTACAAGGTACATATTTAGTTTATGTGCTCAGATCCTTAATATTGCTTACTTACATTCTATAATGTGTCTTAGATTCTGAAAGAGGGGCTGGAAGGACCTGTTGTTCTGATTGTTCAGAAGCGTGAGCTAAAGAATGTTCTTTCTGATATGAAATTTACGGCTTTAGATCGGCGCACGAAACCCATATGCGTTAGTGATACTGTCAAAGTGTTGGAAGGACCATTGAAGGTTTGACACTAATTTGAAATCATTTATCTTAGAATGTGAAAAAGGAGTTTAATGAGTTACATATGCCTCCAAAGAGTGGAACATTTTACACTGCTTTATCTCACTTTTCAGGATAGGCAGGGGATTGTTAGGCAAATCTATAGAGGTACCATATTCTTGTATGATGAGAACGAGACAGAAAATGGTGGTTATTTCTGCTCAAAATCTCATATGTGTGAGAAAATTAAGCTTTATAATGATGCTTGCAAAGAAAAGGTTGGAAGCTTTTTTCTCTTTTGGAAGTAGTCTTGTAAGGTATATTAAATCTTAGCATGAAGGTTTTAGTAATGATATTTCTTCCTCATTTCATTCAGGATGGGGATTCAGGTGGTCCAGGTTTTGAAGATTTCATGTCATCTCCTAAATCCCCTCTATCGCCAAAAAAGCCATGGCTAGAAAGAGATAGTAACTGTATGCATGAGTGTTAATGCTCTATTGTAAGTTATCAACTGTAACTATCAAGGTTTCTGCCTGCTCATTAATTATTTTGAATGCAGTTAATCGGGGTGATACAGATGGAATTTTCTCAATTGGTCAAACTGTGAGAATCCGTGTGGGTCCCTTGAAGGGATACCTCTGTCGCATTTTGGCTATACGCCGTGCTGATATCACTGTTAAGCTTGATTCTCAGCAGAAGGTTCTTACAGGTTCGTCAATATCAATTAAGTACTGGGTGTAATTAGTTGGTTGATCATTGAATGCGATTCTACCGTTGTCATAATATTTTGTTGTGATGTAATGCAGTTAAATGTGAGCATCTTTCTGAAGTTCGTGGAAAGAGCTCTTCTGTGCTGATTAGGTACTTCTTTTTAGTCAATTAATCATTTGTGGCAAGCCGTTCTTTACTCATTGTCTTTTCATTAAGTGTGCTAATACCCTATTTCTCTGCAAAGTGAGGATCCGGAGTCCAGTTTAAAACCATTTGATATGCTTGGAAATGAAGGAGGCTCTAAAGGTGTATATCTCTTGGAAGAAGTTTCTACTTTAATTGATACTTCAGTTTTATCTTGAGCTATTTTATAGGGTAATGTTCTCTTTCCAGACAATTTGACATGTTATGTTGTCAAAACTGTTAAGCTTGACGCACATTCAAATGATGATCTATCTGTTCCGAATGACAGTTTGACGTCATAACATGACAGATTATCCGGAAAAAGAACACTTTTCTATATATATATATATATATATATCTGTTGGCCTTTACCCTCAACAAGTGTGACTTATGGTGCTTCTTGTATTTGAAGATTGGACAGATGGAGCTGGGGCATCAGCTGGCGGTGCTGGCAATGGGTGGAATGCTGGAGGGGTATCTGGTGAAAGGTAACATTTTGGTCCTGTGAATTATGCACTCAATCTCCTCATGCAGATACTATAAATTGGCAATTGCCTAATACAGCAATATTGGTCAGGATTTAGTTGAATTTTGATGTAATAGAAAGTAGAGTTCCTGTGGTAAAACTTTTACTGAAGCATCTCAAAATTTACAAGTTAATAGAAGTCGTGCACCATCTTTTTGCATACGTCCGCTTACAACATAACTTAGGTATCATGAAAAATCTTTTTAAGGATCTCAATATATATTTTTAATATGCTTGTTAATTTATCAAGAAAAATCTTTTTCCATACAAATGTTTACAAATTAATTACGTAGGTTGTAATAACTACTGGTGGAGGTGGAGGTTGACCCCCTTTTTGACACTTCTACTTTGTATTATTTGTAGCACAATGCTCAACATATAGAAGTCATAACTCCTCATTGCTTATCATACTCTTGAGCACAATTCATTTATGGTTTTATGAATTTATGTTAATTGTATGATCATATTAATCATTATGGTTTTTTTTTCTCTTTGACATGTTTATTGAATGGCTCGTATTGTGTACAATCACTTGTAATTTTCTCATTATATAATATATATATATATATGTAATATTGAAAGTCACCTTGGAAAATGGAAAGCTAGTACATCTGTAATTTTTTTTGTAAATTTTTATTTCATGTGTACAATGCTCTGCTTACTGCAGTAATACTCGTCCAGTTGTTATTTGGTGTACTTTGTTTGATTGCCTTGACTCAAAAATGATTAAATGAATGCCTCAGTTTGGTGAGGCCTTGATTTTCATCAGATGCATAATGCAGATAAATGAAGTGACCTAACCCCACAAACATTATATTTTTTTGCTGTTTACAAAATGTACATTTCCTATTTGTTTATTTGATCCGTTTTCCCTCCATGTGCCATTTTGTATGATCTTATTCTGATGACTGCATTCTTGCAGGAATTCTTGGCCAAGTTTCTCTGCCACAGGCATTTCGGTAGGTTTTTATCCCTCCCACACCCAAAGAAAGAGAAAAAAACCGTATATATTTGTGCATGTATTTGATTAACATCCTGACCACTGAGTTCTCTTTATGGTTCCAGATTCAGTCAGAGTCCATTTCTGGTCAGGATGGAAATGATGTTAAGAAAGGTATGTTCAGTTCTGAAGTTTAAAAGTAGCAATGTCTTTGATGATAGATTTCCCTTAGCCAAAGCTGATTTATTCATTTTCCTTCATAACCTGTAGATGATTCTTGGGAGAGCAAAGTTGCTCCAAATAAAATTTCGTCCTGGGGTGCAGCAACAGATAACAATGATCAAGGTGCTGGCTGGGGAAAAGGTGTGGACTCTTGGGGTAAATCTAGTGCTAAAACTGGGGGTGACAGCAGTGCATCGGATATTTGGCAGAAGGCAATAGAACCTTCTGGTACTGCTACTGCTGGGAATAGCCAACTGGATTCATGGGGCAAAGGTAAAAATGTAGTTGAATCAGGATCATGGGAAAAGAATTCTGATGCAACATCTGGTGATATTGCTAGTTCTGGGTGGGGTCAACAGAAACCTTTGGACAAAGGAAATGCAGTCAGTAGTGATGGGTCTGATTGGGGTAAGGCTCAGAATAAAGGAGCCGGTTGGGGAACTAAAGAAGATTCTTGCAGTAAAGCCACAGGGAACTGGAGCACTAAAGATGAATCAAGTGCTGGTGAGGCAGGGTGGAAAATTTCAAAGCCGGCAGAAGATGTTCAGACAGGAAGCTGGGGTAATGCAGGTGGGGTTTTGCCCCAATCAGAGGCAGGAAACGAAGATGAAGCAAGTGGCTGGGCAAAACCTAAAGGTGCATTTAGTAATGAGAATCAGAATGACAGTTGGAAGAAACCAAGTGGTGTAGATGACAATAAAAGAGCTTCCTGGGGTAAAGCAGATGGAGGTTCTGCTTGGAATAAACAAGACGGAGATTCTACATGGAATAAACAAGGTGAAGGTTCTACTTGGAATAAGCAAGATGGCGGTTCTGCTTGGAATAAACCAGCAGGAGATTCTTCTTGGAGTAAACAAGCTGGAGGATCTTCATGGGGTAAACAAGCTGATGTAACAGCAGGACATGAGTCTGGCGGAGTGGGGAATCAAGATGATGGTTGGAAGAGAGCAAAAAGTTTTGGCGGTGATCAAGGATCTGGTGGTTGGGGCAAAGGGAGTGGGGATAAGGGTGATATAGATCAGCAAGACTTCTCGGGAAGGCCAAAATCCTTTGAGGGGGCTCATGGGTTTGGTGGAAGAAGAGGAGGAAGAGGAGGTAGAGATCAATTTGGCAGGGGTAGGTCATTCAGTCAGGATCAATCCTCTGGGTGGAACAAGGATCGGGAAAACAATAGGAGTGCTGATGGAATAGGTGGTTGGAAGAATCCAAATGCTTCTGTTGAGAACAATGGATCAGGTTGGAGCAAAGGATGGGGGGCA